GTGTTCTGGAAAGTAGAGAGCAGCACCTTTCCAATTCGTATAAGCTTCGTCCTCCTTGTTTCGTAAGCTCATCGCAATGTTCCGTTGAAGTTGTCGGACTTGATATCTTAGGTTTCCCTCATTTCTGCACGTATTCCATCAAGTATGCGGGAGCTGTATTGATAGACTTTGCTGCTCAAAATGGGTTTATAGCATAAGACGTTGGTGTTCATTCTGTGTATTTATTGACATTTCCACGGTTTCTGGATCTTGTTCCCATCGCTGTGCAGTATGGGCGACTACTTTCAGCCGTTCGATTCGCAGGGAATTTCCTTATCGACGGTCTCGCGTTCCTGTCGCATCAAACCATCGCAGTTGTGGTCCATCTTCAACCATCGCCTAGGGAATCTCGTTGCCCGAGTTGTGCTCGACAATCGCAGAGGGGAAAGAGTTTGAGTTGGGACTTCCAAATTTCTAAACTCAAACTTGTTCCGTTCCCCTTGCTTCCCCCAACTATCCGCTTATGTTTCCCCCTCCCCGCCATCAATCTCCGCCACGACCAATTCTTGATGCCGACCATTACCAGACCTATAATCCATAACCTTGTTTTCCAGGTCTCCGAACGTAGACACCTTTCCGAGCCAACGAATCCACCCGCTATATAATGGGTCAATTAGCTTCGTTCTTTTCACTATTCTCAGAGTTACTCCTCTCCCACTCTTGTTCAGTTTCCCGCAATGGACCAGACTATCGAGAGCTCCAATGCACTTATCGCCTCTATCCGCAGCCGCCGTGCCACCGTCCGCTATGCCGCTATTCCGGGAACGCAGGCTCTTCGTGCTGCCGCTGCTCACGATGCAAACACCAGCCGCGCCCTTCATGGACATGCTTCGCCCGAAGATGGTGTGCTCATCTTTTGTGCCGTGGGATCCTCGTTTGCCGCCGTTCTGCTGCTTGCGCGATTTCCACCCCACTCATATGGTTTATTCCTTCGATAAGCCTCTTCCCTGACCTAAACCAAAATTTTGCTTCTGCTCTTAATGCAGGTCCAGTCCGGTTCCACAGTGTTAACGCGGTGACGGCAGCAGCTCCAATTGGACAGCTCCCAGATAACGAAGAACGTCGCCGAGCCAACACCTCTGGCCATGCGCCACGCCTTCCGTCTGCTCCTGCATCGTCCTCGCCTTCTGCTGCTGCGCCCGTCGCCGTCGCTGCCGCCGTGGAGCCCTCTCTGCCCCATTGTTCTTCTCCCGAAGTACCTGCTCTCGGTCTGAGCGAACGCGCTCCCCCGGTCTCCTTTGAAGTGGATCTCCCGCCTCCCCCTCCGGCCCCTATGCAGGGACGTCCGAACGTCACCACTGCTGCTGGGGTGCTTTCTCCCTCGACCATCATAGCACCCAACATCACCCCTGCTGCTGGGGCGCTTCCTCCCTCGACCAACGTCGCTCCCAACATCACCCCTGCTGCTGGGGCGCTTCCTCCCTCGACCAACATCGCGCCCAACGTCACCCCTGCTCCTGGGGCGCTTCCTCCCTTGACCAGCGTGGCTTCTCCCACCGCTTCCACGGCCTTCACCAACGATGTACCTGCACCCAACAACGTGCCGCGCCAGGTAGCCATGGACGGTACTGCTGGCGGATCGTTTGCCCCGCCCCCCGTGCGGATCGCCACTGACGCGGGCAGAACCTCTACCGCTCGGCAGGAGTTGGAAGAAGCTCTTGCCTCTCAGCGCGCCCTGCAGCGAGAGAACCTGAGGCTGCAGAACGAAAACTCCGACCTGCGCTGCACTCAGGCTCCTCCCGCTGACACCACTGAGGAGGAGCAGGGCACTGCGAACCCTGGAGCTGGAGCTGGCGGCGGCTCTGACTCGACTCCTGGTACCAACGATCCGGCTGGACGGCACCCCGTCCTCCCTGTCAACGACCGTGTGCTCGGCCGGGCCGTGGGGAATGCCCACGTTCGCGGAACGGAACATGGCATGGCGCACCTGACCGTTGAGCAGGAAACTTTCGCGATCGACCTTGCTGCAGCGATGAAGCACGTCCCTGAAATAAACAAGGGATTATACGTAAGTGAAGCATAATCCTTGTTTTGCCTTCCACACCCTTGCATTGTTTCCTGTTTTAACAACCTTTCATTTTTATGGAGCTTCCCTTTACCGAGATCCCACCTCGATGGTGCCTCACATGGTCATCCGTACCGGAACCCGGCCTAATTCGAACCATTCCTGCATATACCCCGAGTGTGTGTGCCTTTCCTCCCCCCTTCGCAGGTTGCCATGTTGGATGCAATCAGCATCCTTTTCTGGGAGACCGAAAACGCCAGGATGGACTTCTGGCCCCCCCGCAGGCCGGTGCTAGGAGCGCTCATCGTGTCGCTGCGTTACACCACGGTGCAACGGCGTTGGGATCTCCTCAACGTGTACCTGTATGACCCGGTCCGGCGTGGCTACATTCGCAACAAGTTGCAGGACGAACGCCACACGATTCTCAACACGGGGCGCTGCGGTGTCATCAACGCCTTCGACCTGTACACCAAGGTACAAAAAAACGGCGTATTTTTCCTTTTTAGCCCGTATCATACTGTACCGAAATATACGACCGTTTAATACGGAAAAAAACGGTCTTGGGTGCGTTTTCATGTGTGTGCAAAAAAACGGTCGTTTTTTTTAATGGGAGGTGTACTAGGTTTATAATTGCCAATCGAGGTCTTGTTATGTGGTTGGGTTTGCTCGCCCTTTTGGGAAATTGTTCGCTCAACATTTTCCCGAAGCGCGAATGCAACCTCATCCCGAACCGCACATTTTGTGCATTTCGCATTGCCGTTGCGAACTTTCGGCAACACCCGTTTGGAATTTTGCGGCCCATAGCGCGCCCAACGCGCGACTCATTTCGCGATGCGCGAAAATCCAGCCTGGCCTTTCCATTTTGCATCTCCCCAATGCCGTTTGTACAACGAATCCCCCCCACCTTGCCAAGTTGGTGTGAAACAAGTGTGGAGCAGCTCCAAGCAAGGTAAAAGCATAAAGGTGAAATCGCGAATTCAGCTATCCACACTTCAGATTCAGCTCTCAACCCCAACTAGGCACATTTACCCCCGATTCGTTCATACGCGCTGCATCGCGTCCTAATTTCGACCGACTAGGTTAGTAATCCCACCATGCCACGAGCTCCGTTGCGCATGTGGGAACACGTGCAGAAATTTTTTAGTGATGACGGGAAACTAATCCGCGCTGAGTGCATTCACTGCCACAAACCCGTCACTGCCAACGCAACGCGGATTACGGAGCACCTGTACGGGACTCCCACCACTAAGTTTAGGAATGTCGCTCAGTGCACCTCGGATTTCGCGAAGAACCTTCGCTCAATGGGCGAGGCCGAGCGGAGTTCCACCTGCTCGGGCTTTAGCCATGGCTCCACGTCCACGGTCGAAGGGCAGGCAGTTCGAAAAAGGGGCCAGATGGATATTCGCACCATGACGGACAAGGCGGCCCGCGAGCACATGGACTACTTGTGGGCGACGGCTGTCGCGGAAAACGATTGGGCTTTCCGCACCTCGCAGTAAGTACTCCCATGCCGCCCAACACCCTGGCCTTTGATGCCATGGAACGTGTTATGCTGGGGTCGGATCTTCAACTCTACCATGCCAAGCTCTCTAACTATCTGCCTCCCGCTTTGCTCAGATCTCTGGCCCTCCAAGAGTTCGTTAATGCGGCTGTCCAATTCGGAAAGAAGTACACCATGCCGTCTGCGTACAAAGTCAGCGGGCCGCTGCTTGTCAAGCTGAAGGCGGACACTGTTGAGCTCGAGAGGCCTCTCAAGGAGACTTGGAACACCAGTGGGTGTTCCTTGTCCATCGACGGATGGTCGTGTTTGAAGAGTCGCGGGCTCGTGTGCATTGTCGCCCAGAATGACACAGCACCCGTTATGGTGGATGTCATTGACTCCAAGACCGCCAAGAAGTCAGGGTCGTTCTTGGCGGAGCATATCCGAAAGGCGATATGCACAGTTGGAGATGCCCGCGTTGTCCAAGTCATTATGGACAACGCGAGCAACAACAAGAGTGCGGCCGGGGAGTTAAAGGAGGGGTATCCGGGGATTTTTTTCACAAATTGTGCCGCCCACTGCCTTGACTTGATGCTACACGACCTTGGGTCGATTAGTGTCATCAACCGAGTACTCAAACAGGCCCACCGTGTCGTGATGATGGTGAAAAAGAGCGCTAGCCCCGTTATTCTCTTCTGGGAGGTTTTCAGCAAGCTAGAGCTTGTCCGTCCCGGGGTCACGCGCTTTGGCACGCAGGTGATCATGCTCACCCGCTTTGCTGATCTTCAAGGCGACTTGCAGCGAATGGTGATTAGTGAGGAGTGGAAGGGGATTGCAGTGGCCAAGAAGGAGGAGGGGCGGAAGCTCAAAGACCTCCTTTTGGAGGACAAGTTTTGGGAGGCAGTGGGGGTTGTCGTCAAGCTCATGACCCCACTGTACGAGGTGCTACGAGCAGTCGACCGTAGATCCGTCCTCATGGCGAGGATCTACGGCCTAATGCTGGACGCCACGGTCAAGACTACCAAAGCGGCGGCGGTTGCAGGTAAGCCACTTCCCGCTCCTCCTTTTCAACTCTGCCCTCACCCGCCTGCCTCGGTACTTGGCTGCATGTGCTGCCCCTCACGAATCCACCCTTCCCCCTCCTCCTTTTCAACTCTGCCCTCACCCGTTTCCCTAAATATCAGCTGTGTTTTTTGTCAAACAGACAAAACTGCTGGCTGCTAAGAAAAAGCCGGGTTTCTTGAAGACCGTGCAAAAGATCATTGCCCGACGGTGGGACAAGCAGCTGCACAACCCCCTGCATGCTTTGGGGTGGCTGCTGAACCCGAAGAACCAATTCTCGGAGGAAGTGCGGACCGATCAGGAGATCAGGGATGGAGTGCAAGCCGTGCTTGAGGCAAAGGAGCACGATGTGCAGATCCGCACCCTGCTTCAAACCCAAATTGCCAGCTTCCACAAAGGGGAAGGCCGTTTGGGGAGCGGCGATGCAAGGTTTGCTGCACAAGCTCTTGTAGAGAGCGGCAGGCTTTCGGAGGCAGAGTGGTGGTTTATCTATGGTGGGGAGGTGCGCGCCTTGCAGGAGTTGGCGGTAAAGGTCCTATCCCAACCCATCACCGCTTCGGAAGTCGAGCGGTGCTGGTCGGCTATGGCGCGGGTGCAGCGACGCGATCGGAACAAGCTGAACGCCAAGACCATGATCGATGTCACATGGGTGGCGTTCAGCCGCCGCGCTTGGGCCTCTTTTGACAAGAGGGTGGAGGCCCGTGCTCTGCTGTTTGCTGATCTTCAGGCACGCAAGTTCACGGCAAACAGCAGTGACCCGTTTCCACCTCTCCCTCAAGAGGTTGTGGAAGAGGTGGACGATGAAGGGAGTGAGGATGAGGCCGCCGAGTGTGCCATTGATTGGGACACCTTCGGGGACATAGGGGGGAAGAAGAGGAGGAGGGTCAGTGCCACAAGGAAGAGGGGGGCAGAGAAGGTGACCTGCCGAACCAAGGGGACCAAGGATCGCGGCACTTGGGACATGGGCGAGGGAGAGGAGGAGGAGAAGGAGGAGGAGGAGGAGGAGGAGGAGGAGGAGGAGGAGGAGGAGGAGGAGGAGGAGGAGGAGGAGGAGGAGGAGAAGGAGGAGGAGGAGGAGGAGGAGGAGGAGGAGGAGGAGGAGGAGGAGGAGGAGGAGGAGGAGGAGGCTGAGGAGGAGGAGGCTGAGGAGGAAGAGGAGGAGGAGGAGGAAGAGGGGGAGTCTCACGAGGAAGCCTAGGAGGATTAGGGGGGAGGTTAAGGTGGAGGAGGGGGAGGCTTAGGATGAGGATGGGGAGGTAGACACCTGCAGGAGGAGGAGGAGGGGGGGGCCTTCGAGGAGGGGGACGTAGACTTATCGAATGCAGTGGCATTTCTATCTGTAGCCGCATTTAGATGTTGTTTTGACGTTAGAAAGCCCATGGCAGTTGTCCCCACCTGTTTACTAGTCAGAGTAGGGTTTTTTTTTTTTGCACATTTTCGTCTATTAAAAATTCGGCGTATTTTTCCTCAAATCACCGAAAAAAACGGGCCGTATGAAACGCCCGTTTTTTTCGGTTGCCGTATTTTTGCACCTTGCTGTACACCCAGCGCCCTGACAAGAACCGCGAGCTCAAGGGCTCCATGCTTATCGAATCATGGCTGGTTTTGTACAAAGGAGGTAAGCATGATATTCCAAAAATCTAGGGTCCGAGCCACTTCTGTTTGTGCTCATGCCAATATCTTGAAGTCCCGAATGAAAAGGACCTGCTGCTCTGCTCTGCGCACCCCTACTCAACTCTTTTCCGCCCCCCCCCCCTTACCCCGCCTAAGCACCCATGCCGCTTTCGTGCCTGCTGACTGCGCCAGCAAGCGGCGTGGTTCTGCTCCCCATGTGCCCAGCACCGCACTGTACATTCACCCTCCCCCCTTCCCCCCGTCCCCCTCCCATATTCTCTTCCCTCCCCTGCTATGCCCCTTGCCCTTCTCCCCCGTGCCAGCAAGCGGCGTGGTTCTGCTCCCCATGTGCCCAGCACCGCACTGTACATTCACCCTCCCCCCTTCCCCCCGTCCCCCTCCCACACTCTCTTCCCTCCCCTGCTATGCCCCTTGCCCTTCTCCCCCGTGCCAGTGAGCGGCGTGGTTCTGCTCCCCATGTGCCCAGCACCGCACTGTACATTCACCCTCCCCCCTTCCCCCCGTCCCCCTCCCATATTCTCTTCCCTCCCCTGCTATGCCCCTTGCCCTTCTCCCCCGTGCCAGCCAGCGGCGTGGTTCTGCTCCCCATGTGCCCAGCACCGCACTGTACATTCACCCTCCCCCCTTCCCCCCGTCCCCCTCCCACATTCTCTTCCCTCCCCTGCTATGCCCCTTGCCCTTCTCCCCCGTGCCAGCGAGCGGCGTGGTTCTGCTCCCCATGTGCCCAGCACCGCACTGTACATTCACCCTCCCCCCTTCCCCCCGTCCCCCTCCCACATTCTCTTCCCTCCCCTGCTATGCCCCTTGCCCTTCTCCCCCATGCCAGCAAGCAGCGTGGTTCTGCTCCCCATATGCCCAGCACCGCACTGTACATTCACCCTCCCCCCTTCCCCCCGTCCCCCTCCCACATTCTCTTCCCTCCCCTGCTATGCCCCTTGCCCTTCTCCCCCGTGCCAGCAAGTGGCGTGGTTCTGCTCCCCATGTGCCCAGCACCGCACTGTACATTCACCCTCCCCCCTTCCCCCCGTCCCCATCCCACATTCTCTTCCCTCCCCTGCTATGCCCCTTGCCTTTTCCCCCGTGCCAGCGAGCGGCGTGGTTCTGCTCCCCATGTGCCCAGCACCGCACTGTACATTCACCCTCCCCCCTTCCCCCCGTCCCCCTCCCACATTCTCTTCCCTCCCCTGCTATGCCCCTTGCCCTTCTCCCCCGTGCCAGCCAGCGGCGTGGTTCTGCTCCCCATGTGCCCAGCACCGCACTGTGCATTCACCCTCCCCCCTTCCCCCCGTCCCCCTCCCACATTCTCTTCCCTCCCCTGCTATGCCCCTTGCCCTTCTCCCCCGTGCCAGCGAGTGGCATGGTTCTGCTCCCCATGTGCCCAGCACCGCACTGTACATTCACCCTCCCCCCTTCCCCCCGTCCCCCTCCCACATTCTCTTCCCTCCCCTGCTATGCCCCTTGCCCTTCTCCCCCATGCCAGCAAGCGGCGTGGTTCTGCTCCCCATGTGCCCAGCACCGCACTGTACATTCACCCTCCCCCCTTCCCCCCGTCCCCCTCCCACATTCTCTTCCCTCCCCTGCTATGCCCCTTGCCCTTCTCCCCCGTGCCAGCGAGCGGCGTGGTTCTGCTCCCCATGTGCCCAGCACCGCACTGTACATTCACCCTCCCCCCTTCCCCCCGTCCCCCTCCCACATTCTCTTCCCTCCCCTGCTATGCCCCTTGCCCTTCTCCCCCGTGCCAGCAAGCGGCGTGGTTCTGCTCCCCATATGCCCAGCACCGCACTGTACATTCACCCTCCCCCCTTCCCCCCGTCCCCCTCCCACATTCTCTTCCCTCCCCTGCTATGCCCCTTGCCCTTCTCCCCCGTGCCAGCAAGCGGCGTGGTTCTGCTCCCCATGTGCCCAGCACCGCACTGTACATTCACCCTCCCCCCTTCCCCCCGTCCCCATCCCACATTCTCTTCCCTCCCCTGCTATGCCCCTTGCCTTTTCCCCCGTGCCAGCGACCGGCGTGGTTCTGCTCCCCATGTGCCCAGCACCGCACTGTACATTCACCCTCCCCCCTTCCCCCCGTCCCCCTCCCACATTCTCTTCCCTCCCCTGCTATGCCCCTTGCCCTTCTCCCCCGTGCCAGCGAGTGGCATGGTTCTGCTCCCCATGTGCCCAGCACCGCACTGTACATTCACCCTCCCCCCTTCCCCCCGTCCCCCTCCCACATTCTCTTCCCTCCCCTGCTATGCCCCTTGCCCTTCTCCCCCATGCCAGCAAGCGGCGTGGTTCTGCTCCCCATGTGCCCAGCACCGCACTGTACATTCACCCTCCCCCCTTCCCCCCGTCCCCCTCCCACATTCTCTTCCCTCCCCTGCTATGCCCCTTGCCCTTCTCCCCCGTGCCAGCAAGTGGCGTGGTTCTGCTCCCCATGTGCCCAGCACCGCACTGTACATTCACCCTCCCCCCTTCCCCCCGTCCCCCTCCCACATTCTCTTCCCTCCCCTGCTATGCCCCTTGCCCTTCTCCCCCGTGCCAGCCAGCGGCGTGGTTCTGCTCCCCATGTGCCCAGCACCGCACTGTGCATTCACCCTCCCCCCTTCCCCCCGTCCCCCTCCCACATTCTCTTCCCTCCCCTGCTATGCCCCTTGCCCTTCTCCCCCGTGCCAGCGAGTGGCATGGTTCTGCTCCCCATGTGCCCAGCACCGCACTGTACATTCACCCTCCCCCCTTCCCCCCGTCCCCCTCCCACATTCTCTTCCCTCCCCTGCTATGCCCCTTGCCCTTCTCCCCCATGCCAGCAAGCGGCGTGGTTCTGCTCCCCATGTGCCCAGCACCGCACTGTACATTCACCCTCCCCCCTTCCCCCCGTCCCCCTCCCACATTCTCTTCCCTCCCCTGCTATGCCCCTTGCCCTTCTCCCACGTGCCAGCAAGTGGCGTGGTTCTGCTCCCCATGTGCCCAGCACCGCACTGTACATTCACCCTCCCCCCTTCCCCCCGTCCCCCTCCCACATTCTCTTCCCTCCCCTGCTATGCCCCTTGCCCTTCTCCCCCGTGCCAGCCAGCGGCGTGGTTCTGCTCCCCATGTGCCCAGCACCGCACTGTGCATTCACCCTCCCCCCTTCCCCCCGTCCCCCTCCCACATTCTCTTCCCTCCCCTGCTATGCCCCTTGCCCTTCTCCCCCGTGCCAGCGAGTGGCATGGTTCTGCTCCCCATGTGCCCAGCACCGCACTGTACATTCACCCTCCCCCCTTCCCCCCGTCCCCCTCCCACATTCTCTTCCCTCCCCTGCTATGCCCCTTGCCCTTCTCCCCCATGCCAGCAAGCGGCGTGGTTCTGCTCCCCATGTGCCCAGCACCGCACTGTACATTCACCCTCCCCCCTTCCCCCCGTCCCCCTCCCACATTCTCTTCCCTCCCCTGCTATGCCCCTTGCCCTTCTCCCCCATGCCAGCGAGCGGCGTGGTTCTGCTCCTCATGTGCCCAGCACCGCACTGTACATTCACCCTCCCCCCTTCCCCCCCTCTCATGTTCTCTCCCCTCCCCATCTCCTCTGCCCCAATGCCCCTTCCTCCTGGCGCTAACGTGGCTGCAGATCGCACGAGCCTGTATGATTATTGCTGCCCGTATGCACAGCATCGTGGTTTCTTTCTCAACTGCGTTGCACCTCCCTCCTCTGCACCTGTGGCCCAACCCTGGTTTTCCTCTTTTGGTCAGAGCCGGCAGACCAAGTACTCGCCAGCGCAGTACTGCATTCCTGCCCATATACCCTAAGTCAACCTCCCACTCCTTTGCACCCTTTGCACACCACTGTCTCCCATCGGCAGCGCCACTGACATTCGAGCTGCTCACCTGGCACTGCAACCAGCATGGGGTCCCGTTCGCCAGCGCGGTGTTCATTCGGTGCATCGCAGCATCGTTCCGCCGTGAAGGCCACGACGTGGTGATCCTCAAGCTGAATCAGATTGCGTTCTGGTTGTACGGGGTGAGTGAGTAGGTTGAATCTTCATTTACGACCTAGCGCTTTCAGCAAGATCACCAATGTTGTGGCTTTGTTTTTGTTAATGTTGTCTCCACTTACTTGCTTGACAGGTGGAGCACAAGCTCATTCATGGTGAGGAGCTCCCGCGCAGCACCATCAGGAACCGCAACGGCGTGATCATCTATCACAACCGCATCCGCAACTGGGTGAGGGCAACCATCGTCGCAAGCTCCCAGCAGAGGGGCCCCTGGTGGGACAGCGGCGTGAATGCGTGGCAGTTTTCCACCAGGAACACTGGCGTGTTCATCAGCAATGAAGGCTTGGACGACTTTCATGACTAGCGCGGGTCGAAGCTCTGCGGCGTGTACCCCTCTGGTGCCATTCTTTCCCAACCAAATGCGCAGGATGTTTTCACACTTGTGACAATTGCATTGTGCATGGAATCCCCTCCCTAGGCATGATGATGCAGGGTCTGGATGGGTAGTGTTGGAAATATCTCAAAGGACTTAAGCGTTTCTGAAGTGTAACACTGCACTCGAGGAAGACTACAGGGGAGCACGCGAGTCAACGGAGGTTACATGAGGGGACGGACAAAGAATGCGAAAAGACTCGAAAG